TTGAGAGTTTTTAGATGATTTTATTATTTATTACTTAGATAATATTTTAATTTACTTTAAGAATACAAAAAAGCATGAATTTCATATTTGTCATATATTACAAAATCTTAAAAATACAAGACTATGTGCCAAGATGAAAAAGTGTATATTTTATACTACTCAAGTTGACTTATGATACATCATTTCATATGTTGGCCTTATGATAGATCCTAAAAAAATCTAAACTATCATAAATTAGATAATTCTAAAAATAATAAAAAAATATAGAATATTTTTTAGAATTTTTTAATTACTACTAAATCTTTGTGAAGAATTTTTTCAAATTATGACTTCTCTAATATATGTGATATGTAAAGACAAACTAGAATAAAATAAAAAAAACTAAAGAATTTTTTGAAGCTTTAAAGATAACTTTTATTTTTGTGCCAATCTTATATTGCATCAATTTTTGTAAGATATTCTTCATGAAAATAGATATATTGGACTTTACTTTAAACTTAGTATTATTACAAATGGAAATAAATGACAAAATCTATGTAATAGCTTTCTATTCCAAAAATATTTTAATATCCAAATTCAACTACAAGATCTATAATAAAGAGCTTCTTGTAATTGTAGATTTATTATAAAAATAGCATCATTATCTAAAAGGTGCTTCTAGTTCAATCATTATATATATAAATCATAAGAATCTTAAATATTTTATATTAGCAATATATTTTAAATTATTGCCAAGCTTGTTGAAATATGTCTTCATCAAGATTTGATTTTAATATTATTTATTGATTAGATAAATAACAAGGTTTGTGAAATGTCTTTTTTAGATGTTCTTATCTTCCATGAAAAAATAGAGCTGTAGATTTTTATCAACAAAGAAAAATTATCTTGAAGCTAGAGCATTTTCATCTTTGAGCAATGAAATCAACATTAATTATTGATTCAACTTTTTTTGAAGTAAATTCAATTGAGTATGTTTTTTGAACTTCTTATTTATAATATTGAGAGAAATTCTTCTAAGTTTCATGATATTTCTAAGTTTTAATTTAAAAATAATCTATTCTATTTTAAGAAAAAATTACATATTATAGAGGGTGAAGTATGATCATGTATTCTTCAAATTTGTGACAACTTTTCAATAATAAGACATTTTGGATACAAAAAGACTTTAGAACTAATATCTAAAGATTTTTAGTGACTTCAAATGTAAAAGATAGTTAAAGACTTTGTACAATCATGTGATATTTTTTTAAGATCAAAAACTCCTCATCATCAATCTTTTAGACTTTTTCAGCCATTACCAATATGTAAACAAGCATAGTCTTCTATTTCTATGGATTTTATCACAATTCTTTCAATTTCATGTTCATATGATTCTATATTTATAATAATAGATTATTTCATCAAAGTATCATATTTTATACTATATACAAAATCTATCACAAATAAAAAAATACTTAAGTTTTTTTTTGACAAAAATTATTATTATCATGGATTATTAATAGATATTATATCAGATAGAAGAATTTAATTTGTATTAAGATTTTGAAGAACTCTTTTCAAGATTCTAAAGGTAGATATATAACTAATTTTGACTTTTCAGCTTAAAATTCATAGACAAATGAAGCAAAATAAAGCTCAAGAATGCCAAAAGATCAACATAAATGCCTATTATAAGGAATAATCTTAATTCCATATTGACAAAAATATATGGTTATTTTATCATAATTTCAAGAGTATTTTTCTTTATAATAAGTTAAATTATTATAAACTTACATTATTTCCTATTAATGAACAAATTAATCCAATTACATATTGATTATACCTACCAAAGTCTATGAAGATTCATTCTGTGTTTCACATGTCTCTCTTTGAACTATATAAGACAATAAATATCCTTAAAAGAAGAAAAATGTTACTTCTTCTAATAGAAATCAATAATAATAAAAAATTTAAGATAAAAAAAGTCTTGTAATTAAGGTGGCATTAAAATAGATTAAAATATCTTATTTATTAGCATAGATATAATATTAATAAATATACATAAAATCCAACTAAGAATCTTATAAATAGAATAAAAAATATAAAAGCTTTTTCATCAACATCTGTCAAAATGAAGATAAAGAGGAAAGCAATTTTTTGTTATAAAAGAAATGAAATTTAATAAAGATTGCATTCTATCTTCTATCCTTACTTGTGGTTTTCTTTTGTGTTACTAAAAATATAAACAACCAACAATCAATAAATTTAATTCAAAAACTATTATTTATGGAATTATCAAATGAAATATTGCAAATGTGATAACATTTAAGATGATGTAATAGAGATGAAGACCTTCAAAAATAACATATTTTTTTATTGAATAGATGGCAAGATATAATGCATTTGATATCATGATCTTAAAAGAGACTTTTGATATTTGGTGATATTATTGGAAGTAAGAATGACTTTTGATGGTGTTCTAAATATTTTATTTGAAAGAAGTTATGAAGGTCTTAATAATAATCAAATATTAGGATAGTCTTTATGCATTAATATGGAACACTATTGATGGCTTAGAAGACCTATCAACTACCTTTAAATAGAACAAAGATTAAAATATGTGGCAAATATGATTTAATGCATCTTGAACTTTCTTATCATATGATTTCTACTCCTTGTGGAACTTGTTCTTAAAAAAGAGGATAATGTCATAAACATCTATATTTAAATAATTACCTAAATAATATGAGTATATAGAAGTAAAAAAAAAAAAAAAAAAATTAATAATATCTTATAGAGAAGCTTCTTAGAAGTTTTATAGACTTAGCTTTGAATTTATATATGTTTATAGTTGATTAATAGGTTAAAAATTTTGCCAACAAGATAGCCACATATCACATATATTGATAGCTTGTGGTACAAGTTAAACATGTGGAGCACATACAAGAAACTTATTTTGTAAGTTAAATACATACCATGTGAGTTGGACACATATTAGAGGTTCTATAGAGCATTGCTACTTATTTCCTTATTAGATAGTATATATAGAGGCAAGAGTCAAGCCTTCTTTAGTCTTGTTAATTCCTTTCTTGCTTCTAGTTTAGTTTCAAGGATCTTTAGTTTTTTATCTTTTGCAATAGTTATTCTAATTTCTTCTTGAATATACGTATTTTTTTATTTCCATTTTGTTATCAATTTTTGATACATATTCCACTTATTTATATATCTTCTTTGAGTTCTTATCCTTGACAAACTTTGATCAATTTCTATTTTGAAGGATCTACATCAATTTTTTTCGTGATTAAAAGCAATGCACTATATGATTCATTCTAACAACAAACAACTATAATAGAGGGGCAAAGGTAAGGTCCTATAAAGTTTGTTACAAGTAATACTTTGATACCAAGTTATGATTTATTAAGTATTTCCTAGATATGTTGTTCCAAGGATACTACAACAAACAATTTTGAGTCTCTAGAACAAGTTTTGATAAATAGTATTGCTTGGGATATTCAAAGTTGACCATTGCAAGTACCTTACTTTTTATTCTAAAAAAAGAAATGTGATTTTGTCTAGATTAAAATCAATTCTTTATTTATATTCTCTAATACTATTAGGGTGAGATTTTTATGTCATTTTTCTTTAGCCAACGGAGTAGATAAGCTCTTTCTACCTTACTACAAACAAAATCAATTAGCAAGTTCCAATATTTTTACCTTTGTATTCCCAACTTGCTTCTGATAAGACTAGATCATTAAAAGATGTACAACTTCATCCACAACCTAAAACTCTTTATTGTGATCTTTTCTCACTTCACTCTTTTTTAAAACACATGACTTCATTGAGTCTTCAATCGGATGCTTGCCAAACTTGAGCACAAGTTGCATCTATTGTAGGCCTCTATCTCTTCTTTTTAGTAAGATGGACCTTCAAAGTCATTAATTAATAGCCTTCTATGATCCAAATCGATGACTTTTTCTTACTACACTATCATCTTTAGACATGGTTTTTTGACTTTGATAGCTAGTCCTCAAACCTCCTAAGTATGCACTTTGTAATTAAAGACCAATATAAAAAAAATCAGTTTTTTCAACATTCATACAAATTCAAGACTTTAGATTGGAAACAAAATGAGAGCTTGACTTTAAAATTGGAATAATGAAAAAAATAAGTTAGATGGTACTCAAATTAAAACCAACCAAATACCTAAGTATAAAGAACCAAGAGAAAAATCTTTAATCCCATTGAATGGACTTCTAGGTACATCCTCTTAGGGTCCTTGATCTCTTAAGTTACCCTTGAAATTTTGAATATGTAAAATATTTAAAATAGATCTAATTATGTCACATTATCATATAATTTTAAAATACATATACATGGTTTTGGAAGGAAAATCTTATTTTATTATAAATATCTTTTTTTCAGATAATATGTAATATTTAGGAAATTTTGTCAAATTATATGTAATGTATCTTGATTGTTTATACTTCAATCAATTTAAAATTACAATTAAATATATAAATAAACTATCATCACCTCTACTATTACATTTATCAGTTTTGGTCTTTCTAAGGTGATGAGCCTAAGTGTTAAAAGTTTACATATTAAATAGCTTTACATTATAAAATCCAAAATAATTAAATTCAAGACAATGTAAACTAGTAAGCAGTCACAATTTATAATGGAATGCAATTTAATATATGAACTGATTTGTTGTCCTTCAAATTTAAGTCATAAATTTAATGTAAGTTCTGTTTTTCCATTGTACGGCATATGAACCACATCTGTTCTCAATTCATGGTAATTAAAGTAATAAACAAAAATCTACTAATATTACAGGCACCACACGCAGGCACAGAGGGTCCATGAGCGAAAACACAAATACTGGGGTTCAGACTTATCTGTGATGGTGTGAAATTTTCCAACTCAACACGATTCCGGCTTAGATTCTAAACATTTGACTCATCAAATTTGAATTTTTCGCAACTTCAGAAACAGCGAGGCTAGAATGTCAGAATATGTCCGTAGAAAACAATAAAAAAATGGCTCAAGGAAAACCTTAAGTAAAATAAAATGAAATAAAAAGAAAAGAGAAACTACCAAGGAAATAAAAATGGGAATGTACATCTGCCGTCCAGAGCTTGGGATTGCGAAGGTCGGCTGGTCAGAATTAGATGTTCTTAGTGAACATTGCTAGCAGTGACATCTAGTCATCAAACAAAACTGCCTCCATTAGCAGGTCTTCATGCTCGTCTAAGATGTTTTCCTCGCCCAGGAGGTAGTTTTCTAGCACTGAATCCACCATTTTGTGACCTGCTGCTGGATACTCTGAACCTGCTCTAGAATCATCTTTCCAATTCTCACGAATCAGAACCAACTTGTCGAGATTGTCTGTACCTAGATGGCGGCGGTGTATCTCTGTGATCACCCCCACAATACTAAATATCCTTTCTGTTTCAACTTGAGACCCTACGATCCCCAAAATCTGCCTTGCAAGAAAACCAACGTTTGGAAACTGAACCTCCCTGTCCTTCCACCATGCCAATGGGTTCTCACATTCCTTGGAATCAATACGTAGCCTCCTAAATAAAGACAGCTCTGCTTTCAAATGACCGACTATTGCCTCATCATGTGAGGCTGATGATCCAAACAAGGAATTCTCATCAAAGAAATCCTTAGAAGTGGGGCTCAGTGCTGAAACGTTTTCCACACTGGACGGATTCAATTGCTTAAAAACAGTTACCAAACAGGGAAGAAGGGCCCGGTTGTCAACCTCAGCCACAACCGCCAAAGCCATATCCCTGCCCACATAATCTTTCAGCAGACTGAGCCCCTTGTAACGTGGATCCAACATTAACGCCAGCATGTTGTGCGAATGCTTGGCTGAATAATCAAGCGTAAAATTAAGGGAAAGTGATAGAGTACTCATCACCTCTTGCACCAACCGAACCTGTAGAACTTCCAGTTCGGACTCAAAATGTGGATCTAATTTTGGGTCGGGCAAGCTCCTGTTGATCGTTTCCTTATGCAGTTGTAAATACAAACTAAGCGCAGCAGCTATGGCATCAGATAACAACCAGTAACCTTTACTCCGGTTCATAACACATTGTTGAAGCACAGGATTAAGAGCAACAGTGACAGCCTTTGCAATAGCCCACGTCTCCACGCTAGGAACATCGAAGAACATGCCGTCGCTCTGGGAAGCGGAACACAACTGTAATACAGGCTGGTAATCCAAAGCCTCCTGACAAAGAATCACTTTAGAAGCGAACCTTCCCTTTACAGGTGCTCTTAACTTGCGAGGCCGAAGACCAACATCAGCACAGGCTTTCATCCATTCAAGCCTTCTCTTCGCTGACCTAGAGGTCGAAGAAATACTCCTTCTCAAAGAGGATATAGCCGCTTCAATGCTAACTGCCCTCAAACCATCACATGCCTTCTCGTCAGTCGTAGTGTTTTCACATGCTTTAGACAGCACGTTTCCAAAGCAAGTCCCTGTGTATGGCTCAGATAACTGGAGCGGAGAACATACTACCTTCTTTGAAAGTGCCTCGGCGAGTGAAGTGAGCCTTGAATCATCGTCTTTTACCACAAAGGCAATGATCTTGTCCATCAAGTTAAAGGAACTTAGGAGATCTTTCACTTCCATGACAAGCTCTTCTCCGGCGATAACAGACGCCTCCAACACACCTATAGTTACATGGCAGGTCTCCCATGACTCGTTGATGAAATGAACTACCGTAGCGATGCTGTTGACGCCTCTTCGTGACATCCACAGATCAAAAGTTACCGTAGCAGACACACAACCACGTAATGAAGGCAAGATATTCTTCTCTATAATTTGAGAAACCACACGAGGAATGACTTCATCAGTTAATTGACGGCTAGAGGGAAAACTCACACGGCCAAATTGCCTGTTCATGACCAACTTTTTCAACCAGACATTCTCAACCACAGACATGGGATGGCAACCTTTTGCCACATACAGAACCAGATCCTCCAGAAGTCTTTCCTGCGCCGGGTCGAATTTCTTGTTGGAATTTTGATTGTACAAAATATCGGATATTATAGAAGGCAAAGGATCATTCTTCATCCTCCTTGAATGTTGGAATTCTGCCCGTGTAGTAGCATTTGACATGCGCGTTGCCTTGTACTTGGTAAAAATATCCCCATGTTCTTGTGCTACATGTTTTTTCATAGACGTTGTCCCGTGCTGTTTGTTGTAAGTTACAACACCCTTCCTCACTCGCGTAGCACTATTTGGTCGGTGCTCTTGTTGAGCAGGATGGCAAATAGCACAACGCATTTGCTGAGGACGTGCAGAGTCGGGTTCAGAATTATCGTTCACAACATAAAAGGCCCATGTTGCAGAAGCTCGTCCATGCGGGGCCCAAAAGTTTTGATTGGCACGAAGTTGAGAAAATTGAGCGTTCCAAACTACATCGTCCTCCGATGGAAGTATTTCTTGCGGTGTCTCGACGAGTGCAAGTGAACCTGTTCCATCATCATCCACACCCACAATACAATCGTAGTCAGTTTCTGAGAGTCCAAATATATGTGAATCCACTCTTGCAAGCTGTAACAATTTGCAATATCAAATATTTCAAAGAGGAGGCAACGTGTGTTCCAATTACACTCCTCGACTTCAACAGTGTTTACCAGACCAAATGCTAATATCATAAACTGACAAAGTTTGTAAAAAGTAGTGAGATGAACACTAGTGAACCGAAACAGGGTAGCTGTTCAGAAAAGCAATTTAAAACTTGAGGCTCAAATTTATCGCTCATGAATGAGTCATTGCAGGAAGGATTCTAAACTGCAAACCGCATCCAAGTGCGTAGAAGCACGGGAATGCCGATCTATTAGAAAAAAGAGAGTTTAAAAAAATGCATGAATGCATACTTTGCTGATTATCAAGCATCAGTAGCTGGGAACCAAGAAATGACGGCTCTATGCTACCCTCCCCTCGAGAGACTTTTCGAGAAACTTGATATTCTCCACGATCTGACCGTTTTCTTGTTCGTACAATCGAACCAAATGATGATCGTTCTTTAATAATATTGATCTCGTCTTCTAGGATTACAGGAGCCCCTGTATCACAAGAGAAACGTCAATGACTTGTACTCAAGTTACCGCACATGAATATGGTACACAAACACTCAAAAATATCTCAAGCCTGGACCTCATCTAACAGAAATATATATATATATATATATATATATACTTTTTTTCTTTTTTTTTTCTTTTTTTTTTTGGTTATGTGAAGATTAGGAGGATTAAACAATGCGGAAGGTCTGAAGCACAAACGCTGTTCCTTCATCCTTACATTAACATTAAAACCGAATGGTTCTAGAACCACGCTGAAAAGAGAGCCTACATCACCCTCGCAAAGATAACATATAGTCCACTAAAACAAACTACATGAATTGCATGAGTGAATTAGCAGGGGAAAATATGAGCCTCGCATACCTATTTCACCGATTCGGTCCCTATCATCCCAATGCCACAGCGCATTATAAACCTCCTGCGAAAAATCGCCTGGAAGATGGAAATTACGCCGTTCATCATAAGTCATTTCCCAATAGGATATCTGATCCTGCACCATGTTACTTTCGAAGTCTTTGATCCTTTTAAACTCAACACTCAAGCACGCCCACTTCTCACTACAATCTAAAGCACTGCGTAGCACAAGTTGACCCAAACAGTAACTTTCTATGGAATGCCACTTCTCCTGTTCACTAATGTGGTCTTCCAGAGGGTGGTCACCCACCGTCTCTGCGTATTCCTTCATCGCAGATACCAACACAAGCATCTCCAATACATCCCAAGGGCCCTCCTTGTAATGTTTATCAACTTGCCCTTTGCTTGTTTCAATCCCATCTATCCGCGTATCCTCGTCAAATCCCATATGATCCTCCTCCCCTTCCATCACCCCAGATTCTTGATGCTCGGCACCAATGCCTCCCCTGGTCTCCTCCAGCATCATCGCATCATGAACAGAATTTTCAACATGATCATCATCACGCTCGAACTGTTCGTGTCTGCCATTGCCAAGCTCTTGAACTTCATGCATCTTGTCACTCCTCACGTCCATCTCCAGCTCTTCAGTCGTCCCAATGACGTCCACCAGTCCCCCGCTGAGGTGATCATTTGTTATCGCCTCCGCATCAACCCCATTCTCCATCAGCTGCTGCAATGATCCAAAAATCGCGATGAACCCCAACACCCAACCTTCCCCACATAACTTCATCCTCGCCACTCTTTCCTCCTCTCCCCAACAAACGAGAACCCATGCTCCCCATACCCGCCATCTTCTCAAACACTAAACCCTAAACCTCACCAACCCAACTACACTCAAACTTTTCAACTCTCAACCCTCAATCCTCCCTTCCCTCTCTCCCTCCGAAAAATCGATCCGACCTTTGATCACGATCTTAGTTCACCACCATTTCAGAAACTCCAGAGGAAGAAAACAATATCAATACAGTAAGAACAGGAACACGGAGAACAAAATAAAAAATCAAAAATAAAAATAACAAACACATCCCCCCCCCCAATACAGCGTGTGAATGCAGCGATTCTCACGAAGATTAATAAACCCTGACTCCATCAACAAATGCGAGAAGAATTGGGAAATTGGCTCTGAGCTTGCGATGATGCCCCAGAGTTAGAAAATTGTTCCTACAGCGCAGATAAAACGTAGGAATGATACCTGGGTGGGAATGATCGACGTTGACAAACGCCCCTCAGGGGAGACAATGGATATACAGAAAAAAGTGAGGAGTTGGTCAATTGCTTCCCCGGGTATCAGCAATCCTGGCAGAGTCGGGTTGAGTTGGTGTTGCGGGATGATGCTACGGAATTGTAGAGAGAAATAGGAGGGGATCGATGAGGACAGCTGAGAGACCTCAACCGCAACCGAGGACCGGCCGCTCCATCACCAGCAATACCCACAGCAGCTCCAACCGCGACAACTGCAACCGCAGCCAAGCGAAGCCATCGCTCGCCCGCCTTTTTCTCTTCAGTTCCCTTTTCACACCTGAGAGCAGCTCTTACTCCTTTTCACACTTGGCTATTCCTCGTTTCCCTTTTCACACGTCGGAACAGCGTGAGTTTCTTTTCACACATGGCCGTTCCTTTATGAGACTTTTCACATCTGGGTGTGGCTTGGATTCCATTTTGCACGTGCATCTGAGGAGAACGAAGATCCTTCTCTTTGTGGGTAATGTTTGTCGATTCAAAATTATTCATTTACAATAATAGGTTTTACTTATTTATTTGTTTGTTTGGTTGTTTTTTCAATGAGAAATTTCGTTCATGAATTTGACTTTGTGACCACAATATGCCATTACTTTGATCAAGATAGAAATGTGTTTGGTGATCCTCATGCATTGAAGAACAATAATAATCATAGTAATTTTTTAAATAAAAACTCAATGTTTCATTTTTGATATCTATCAAATTCTAAATAATTAATATCTTTCTGATTTTAAATTCAAACATGTTTAGTCTTGATAATATAAATTTAAATTGAATTTTCTATTATTCAAAGTAAAGCACTTAAATCTATACATTGCTTGTTATCATTTAGAGTAATAGTTAATGCCTTGGGACTCTGGAAAGTAACAAAGGAGAAGCAAAATATTATTTAATATACAGCAATGCATCAATTCAGTAATTTAATGGTCCCAGCGACTGTCATTGGATTCAAATCCACATCCTATTGGAATATGGTCAAAATCATTGTAATTGTTCAGCCAAACCATCACATTAACATTCACATTTTCTTTCTAACCTATTTTATTATCTACATCATGGCAATGCAAAATCATAAAAATCAAGAAGATGAGATTATATATACATATATATATATATATATATATACATACATATATAGTATTATATTGACCCATTGAATTCGCAAGGGAATGAACTTTGTTTTGCTACACTTGTTTTGGGAGAATCTTGGCCACCTTCTCATTACCAAATCACTTCGTTGTGTACAATATTTTGCATTAAAGAATCTTGATTGTATTTTAGGGGAGAGCATTGTAAAATGGTAATATATGTTTTTTACATAGTGAAAGAACATATGTTTTTAGTGATTTTGGTATAATATTTTTAGTTATTTTACCAAATGGACATAATTCTATCATATTACAAACATACTAGCAGAAACTCGTGTCATAGGGCACAAAAACAAATTGTCACAAAATAAGGCAACACGTGTGATAAGAGCAACATCTGATTTTACACTATGAAAGGGCAACACTGAAAAATATTTTGACACAAAATAAGGGCAACATACAATGAGAAAGGGCAACACAAATTTTTACATTGTGAAAGAACTATATCCCCTTTTTTACATTATGAAAGAGTGAGTTAGAATAATACAATTTTTGCTTTAGGCCCTATCAAGAAATAGATACTTAATTAGTACTGTGCTTCATCCTTGCACGAATCTATTCATCTAAAGTACGAAAGTCCGTTCTGCACAGCCTGTTGTGCGACCACTGTCCATGGGCAACAGGCAGTTGCAGGGCTGTGCAAAATCCAGATTGATATAAAATTTGTCAATTTCAAATGAAACGTCATCAGTTTAGAAGGCTGTGTGTTGGTGGTTGAAGGATTAATCCACCTTTGACAGGTTTCAAGTTTCACTTGTGTCTTTGATATGGCTATCTTTTATGAGTTTTGTTTATATTTTGACCCCTCCTTGGTACTTGCACTTTGTCCTAGTCCCTTTGGTCTAAGTTTCAAAGTTCTTGGGTGGGCAGGCAGGGGCAAGGGGCAGGTATATTAGAAAATATATATATATATATAATTGCCAAATATCTACACATGGATGAAGAAAGACTTTTACCATGGTACAAGCTACGTACTTAATCCAATGTGGCTTGCTTTGAGTGCTATACATGAAAGGGCAAGGTACTTTTTTACTCTGTTAAAGAACTTTTTTTAAAAAAATTTAGCAGTTTTGACATAATTTTTAATTTTATTTCTAGACAACATTTCTATTATATTATAGATACATAATTTTCTCTTGATTTGTTTATTTCCTGTTTTTTTTTACATATGGCATTCTAGAAATATATTTTATGAGATTGACATTTTGCAATATATTTGTAATTAACATAATATAATGTATTATTTTAATAATGCTACTCTAAATTGTGTGTGTTTTTGTTTGATCAACGTTGGTTTTGAAATTGATCTTAAGATTTTTGCTGTGAGAGCTGTAAATAATTCATAAACCCGCAAAATTTGCACTGTGAAGTCGACTTGATACATACTACCTCAAATCAACACCAATGCACGATAGAATTTGATTTGTTTATTTTAATAATATTTTGCAAAAATAGTGCAAATAGTTTAGATTTTAAATTAAGTAAATTGTCAGTCACATCAATTGTGGTTTTCCACACTGATGCTTTAATCTTAGTTACTTCCAAAACAAAAATTCCAAAATCATGCAGAGAAACTTAATCAGATTATTAAAATTATTATTATTCATAGACACACGCATAGAGAGAAGGATTGCATAACTTCAGATTTTACATAGAATATTACATTGTATTTAATTTCTTTATTAATTCATTGATTTTGATTGTATCTTCAACTTTTTGAAATGTTTTAGATTCCGACTTAAATAAATAAATAAATACGCTCCCCAGCAGATCATTTTAATTTTAAAACAACAATTTGAGCATTTTTAATTTAAAAATTTTGATTGCCTTATTTTATATCTATTCAATCTACAGCTGTTTAAAAATAATGTAAACACACTAATCTACATATATATATATATATATATATATACATGTACTTTTCACAATTCTATTGCAACCATTCTATTGTCCCCATTAAAACGTGGGTGACCCATCTTGAAAGCAGAGCCCCCCGTGTGTAAAAAGAGACAAACAACGTGAGCTGGCACCCAGATGAAAGTAATAATAAAACCCTCACACGATTTTACACAGTGAAGAATCACATTTGTTAGGGGAAGGTACCAACCAGAGTTAGTTTCGGGGTAGTAAATGAGAGCAAGCGAGCACGGGTGCAGCAGAGACACTGAGACAGACGAACAGAGACTTCCGTTCATAATCATCCACATCCTCATCCATCACTTCCACTGTCAAATATTCGGAAGGGTGGGGTGTGTGTGTGAACCCAACCCCATTTGTCCATGTTACCTTCCGCCAAGAGAGATGAAATTGTAGGTTGCCGCGAATTAGCGCCCTTTCAAAGCCAACTTGATAGTGACTAAATATTTCCTCATGTTGAAAATTCAATTCAATAGGTTTCCCTCCAAAATTTCAATACCGGGCCAAAAACAGAAAACTGAACCTTCGTAATAAAATAAGAAAGGGGAACCGAATCCACGGTGGTGTTAAAGAGGGAGGGAGATACGGGACCATTGATTGAGCTTTGTCTGGCCGGCCCGGCTCGCCCCATGTGACCCCCCCATCCCACCTGTCTGAGCCCGGCCCAGCCCGTCTTCGCCGATTCCACCCGTGCGATGCTGCCATGTCAGACAGAACTCCACACTCCTGACGAATGAAAGTGGAGTACGTACGGATGAATTGTGTGATGGGAAGAACAGAACCTGGCTGCTGCTGCGCGGGGAGGGGGTCGTCGTCGTCGTCGACGTCGTCAATGGAAGTTTGAAATTCGGAACCAGAATTTGAGCGCCATACACGATGTCCACATTCATGAAGGGAGGGGCTTTTGTGATGGCCTTCTTCTTCTTCATCGAGCTCGACAACTAATGTACACAATTTTCTTCCCTTCCGTTTTGTTCGTTCATTGTCCGTCATTTGGCTTCGCGGGGAGATCACGAACTCTGGTGTACACTTGCCGCCATCGCCACCAACTCCCGCCATACCGTCCCAAGTCTAAACTCAAACCTTTCCCTTGTATTCTCTTGGAAGGAGTGTCCGCAAATACCCTACTCTGCTGCTCCCCTCCTCTGCAGTGTACTTCACGCCCTTCCGAATTCTGAGTTGAAAGTGGAGTGTTATTGTGTTGGAGTTCGTTTCAGGAGTCGTTAGAAGTCGTATGAGTTCTCTGTGAGCCACCGGGGTGGAGAAGAATTCGTGACCAGTAGAGAATATTAAGGCTGTATTGGGAGTGCCTGAGTGTGTGTGTGTACATTTTGTTTTGTTTTGTTTTGTTTTTTTTGATTTTTTCCCACCTCACGAGCATTGAGAGAATTCGGGTGAGGAAGGTTGGTGGGAGGGAATGATTAAGTCGCGAGAGGTGTGGGAAGAATGAGACCAGGCGTTGGGTGGGTTTTGTTTGGAAGGAGTGAGCGGTACGGGAATTGTGTACAATTGACTTGGGGGTGTGTCGAGCTATTTATGATCGTGGGCGGTTGATTCGTATGGCGTGCATAGAATTTTCAACAAGTGTATGTGAATTCAGTGAGGGCTGAAGGGGGGGACGGGAGCGGTTTGAGCGCTGGAAATGTTGTGGCTGGAGGTAGAGTGTGCGAGAGTGGTGGAACTTGGAGAAATTTACAACGGTTAGGATACGTGTTAGTGTACAGAATCACTCATGCCCTCATTACCAGGACTTATCATGAGCTTCAAAGCCCAAATTTATGAGGAGTTGGGGTAGGTTCATGAGACGTATTGAACCGGTCCTCAGGAGGAGGGAAAATGTACAGGGATTGGAATGTATAGCTCTTTCAAATTGGCAGTGGGTTAGTGAGTATCAGCCTCGATGAATTCGCCACTCACAAAGCAGCCTCGGCAGAGTCCGATACAGAGCCGGACTTTTGCAAATAGAGATAGAATGCCCCCGCTTACACCAAACACACGAAGCGACGTGAATACTGCTAGAGGAAGGGTGTCTCTCAATTCGGAACCAAGCATTACCGACAGTGAGAAGGAAAATCGAGTGCACAGACCTGGGGGTAGCATCAAGAGGTCTACGAACAGTTCATCTTTAATCAAATATGAAGTATTGAATGAGTCCACTCGGAGCGCATCGCCATCCATTGGCACTGTGAATCACCATCAATCGGATGCCGATACACGAGCCCATTCATCTTACAACCGGAAGGATAAATCCTTGGGACTTCTTTGTGAAAAGTGATTTCCTCACCCGAGCTGATGCACGTGCACTACATTCATAATCGTTGGCAGCACTACTTGTGTCTACTTGGTCTGAGATCGTAGTAGTATGTGCATGCACATGTAGTCTACGCCACATGAAGGGTTTTTAGATAATTCTGTGTCAACTTATTTGGTGTTTCTGATGAGGGATAGATCCAGTTACGTTATGAACATTGGCTACATTGGATAGCAAGTAGCTGCATTGCTTCTGTGATTTGTTCTAGAATCTTGGCATTAGACTTACAAGCATCGATAGTACTGGTGTTACGTATCTTATTAAATTAGATTGTCTCTTCGTGAGACAAAAATGATATATCCTGGAACGCCTGAGTTAGCGCCATTTCAAGCACTGTTAAACGTGCACGTGGCGTTTGACTCTCATTCTTCAGTATAAGTAATGTTATACTGTTTTTTTATTTTCATTTTCATTTTCCATTTTTTTTTTATCATAGCCTGTACTATCAAGGCTACAGTGAAATGCCATGAACCCCTTCTCATTTAAATACCACTCAAGACGATTTTGTTCGATGCGAGTAGCCCAGCAATTTTTGACACGAACTCAAATGTCAATGTGCTTCATTTTTTAGATTTCGTAGAACGCTTCTTCACCTACATTGTTGTGAGGTCATTGCTCTATATGTGACATTTGAGCTTAGGCCGAGGTCGCTATGGTTGTCAAAGTGATGCTAACTTGATCATGATTCGTCGTTGTAGCTTCTTGAACTTATACGGGACTGAAGAAGGAGAATGTATTAGTCTCGATGAGGCTGCAAGCCGTCTAGGTGTTGAAAGGAGGCGTATTTATGACATTGTGAATGTCCTTGAAAGCATAGAGGTATGTTGCTCTTCCTATATCAGTAAAACCATTCATGCACTGTCCTGTAAGAGATGTAGATCTACATTTGATGTGTGATCTGTTACTTTGTTGTTTTATTTCAGTGTAACTGTGGTACTGCGTTATCATATGTTTAATGTGTGTTGTGGGAAGACCTGAGAGCATTTCTTGTGAAAATCACAAATTCATCATATTTGTGCAGGTTCTCATTCGAAAAGCTAAGAACCGGTACACATGGCATGGGTCTACGAGGTTGCCTCAAGCTCTTCAAACCATGAAGGTATTATAATCTCATTCACGTCTACATGCCGTTTTGAAGACTCGATTTCATTTCAAGTGCGCTGATTGAAGAAGCAACTTGCTCTTATGCGATGTTGAGCGTTTAAACCTTATTTGAATTGTAAACCTTATTTGAGGCCCTGGTGTGATATCATTTATTTATTTATTTGTGTCTGCTTTGTCTTGTACAGGAAGCGGCTTTACGCGTTTATGGATTGGGAGAGTTTGCCAATACCTCTGCTGATGAAAGTAGACCAACGATTGTGGCGAGTGTACGTTCTGTCCGAGTTTCACCCGATTGCAGTGTTAGAAATATATTGCTGGATGTCTTTGTAGATCGTGACTTTTGTTGTGTCATATTCTTCAATGGGCGACTATCTGGTGTAGTAAAATTCTGGTCTAGTTGAGAACAACTGCTTCGGTTAATGTTAACACGTGCAAAACAAGGAAGTCTTTGTTCATCTGATTCTTTACTTTGCAGAACTGTGCGTCTTCAGATGATGAGGACGAGGAACGGAAAACCTTGCCTTCACAAGAGTCAGAAGCATGTGCCTCTGTCCAGTCTCAGCAAAGTTCAGCTCCTAAAGCGAAAGCAGGTAACGCCATCGTTTCTTTTAAGTAGCAGTTTCTACCTTATTCAAAAGTCTCGATTGGTCGACGTCAATGTGATTCCTGTGGATAACTTACGACCATATTGCTAGTCCCTTTGTTAATAATATTCACATGAGTTGTGTGTTTCTAGATTGTCGGCGGGAGAAGTCACTGGGGCTCCTAAGCCAGAAGTTTGTTCAGCTTTTCCTAGTCTCCCAGTCGCAAGTCGTCTCTCTTGAAGACGCAGCTCGGCTGCTGCTTGGCGATTGCAAAGATGCTTCCAAACTTAAGAGTATGTATACAAATCTGTTATAGTGACATAAACAAGATAGCAGTGCCTTACTAATAGGTCGTTTGATTGAACTACGTTCACGAGCTTACTTATATTAACATTGTGGTTTCTTCAATGGCAGCTAAGGTGAGGCGATTGTATGATATTGCAAACATCCTTTCATCGTTGCAACTCATTGAGAAGGTAAGTATTTCATTGCCTACATGATTGACGTGTTATCGTGCTGTACAATGCTCCAACGCAAGCAGTTGAACTAAAATTAATTTTTGAAACTGTGCAGACACACATGGCGGAGAACCGCAAACCTGCCTTTAGGTGGCTCGGCACAAAGGATGACCTTGTTGGTCCAGCTACTCGTATGAGGATATCAGGGAACTACGTCCAGAGCCCAACTGTGAACACTATTCCTGCGTGCAGCTCTTTCTCGTTTGATAGGACCAAACGAGGTCTCAAACGGGGTGGTACGGATGCTCCCAGAGTGGAACCGAATTCGGCTAAGAGAACAGCCCTGAAGCCACTGCAGCCTAGAGATCCAAATGTGATGACTCCTTATTCCAGAGATATTATCAATAAACCTGTGCCACTACATCCACGCGCATCTCAGGCTGATTCTTCTGTATCTGACCTCAAAATTTTGAGCGTAGCACCTTCGCCACATAATGCGGCCGACTCTCCAACTGCACCAGCAACCACCGCATTTTCAAGTCCAATAAGAACAACTGGTAAACATGCCCAAGGCTTTCTTTGTGTTTAGTTGCACTTAGTTGAGGGTCTGTTGATGTGTCTATTGGTCTTTTGCTCTTAATATTGCTCTAGAGTTTATGCACTATTCTGCTAGCTATGCCTCGGATCGGTTCTAGTTGTTACTAAGTTGCTGTTCCTGATCCAGTAGGTTGGAGGGAATGGAATGACGGCGTTCAAATTCATGCAACTCCCACCATCACTCCGTGGTCCGCGCAGTGTTGTGATCACGCTGGGTCCTCGAATGCAGCTTGCCCTTCTAGCAACAGCACACTTACTTGCAGTCAAGGCGGATGCACCCCAGTCATTAGCCAGGCCCCAGGAATGGGTTCTCCGGCAGTGATGGCTGGGGGGGGTGTGAGAAACTGTCGCACTTGTCTATCCCGGGTATCGTATGATAATCTCTACCCATTCAGGCCTCCTGGTTCTTTATTTAACCCTTTCCTCCCCTCTCCCCCTTTTCCAATGCATCCTCAGCTAGCTGCTGCTGGATTCAGTCTTGCACCTCCAGGGCTAGCTCCAGAGCAATCTCTTGGATTGGATTCAACCCGGGCGCAGGATTGTTCAGTTCACAGGACAGACAATGGAGTTGCAGCCGCCGCCGTCCTGCAGTACCATAATGAGAGTGAGCCCTTTTATCCTCCTTGATCACTTTCAAATCAATGTAGATTCCCGTGCTCGGGTCACTTTGGCAGCGTCATGATCACTTGATCTTACCTGCAAACCTAATGTGCTGTTTATCGTCTCACCCTATGACTATTGTATCTTTGACTTCTCATATTATTTGAGTTGCAGCTCTAGGTCACATGTTTGCACAATACGTGGAGGCGTGGAAGTCGTGGTATCTACAAGCTGCATCGGTTGCTAATCCTTCAAGTTTTCAAACTCCTCCTCCAGTCCGCCCTGGCACACCACAGAGCCCTTCATAACAGGGACAGAGTTACGGGCTGGAATTCTAAATGGATGTGGCGAGTACAGAATGTGCAAATCTGGTTGAAAGTCCTCATATGCGAATTGAAGCTATAGCAGAATTTTTGACACTTGATTGCCCATTGCAGTCCTTGGAGAATGTAGGCAGTGTATTTGAAAATTGAGAGGTGTTTCAAGATAAATCACCCATTTTCGTGGTGAGCGCTGTAACAGAAATGTCATAAAACATTCTTTCCTATATCCGTCCTTGTTTAAAAGAGTCGAGATGTTCTCAGATCCATCCTCGTCTCTGCTTGGGCTGATTCATCCTGTATCATTGGTGCTTACTGTATTCCATGGAACATTTAATTTTGTTGCGGATCATCTCGTTCTTCTTGTGACTACTTTTAACGGATATTTCAACAGATGCAATTTCATCCGTCGAGTCTTAAAGGTCATGGATCCTTGCAATTTCACGAGTCGACTTGTGGTACTTTGGAGTGTTTGTAAGATCTAAACGCCGAAAGCAAAGATATTTTCAGAACAAACCTTGTCATTGACTAATTATCTTGGCCGAATGTCGGTGCTGGTTTTTTCCTGTGGCTCTGTGATTAGGTCTAGTAAATAAGCTTGCTGTCGATAGGTGAGCCTTCCCACGCTTGACAAACTTTTCACTAATTCATGTGGCCTTTTAAAAAGAAACACTTTTTCCAGTTAATGACAAAATACAAGTGTCAATAGCTAGACTCTCCCTCAGATACGTATTAAACCTCTTCTTTTGAAAAACAATTGTTCAGCATTGGCATGGATCTCACGTGGGTTCATGAGGTATCTAGTAATGCTGTGTCCCTCTTAACAGACCACATGGTAGATCTCATATATTACCTTAGTGATAGAAACATATTCACAGTGATTTTCATGAAGCATGGTAATGTGCTTTCTCTTCATGTGAATGAGAACTAATTCGAAGGGAAGTAAAAAACATTGAAAAACAAAGGCATGCTATCACCATGGACGTTGATTGCTCAGACAATCAGCATAGATTGTGTAACCTCATAGAAACTGACTTTTGTCAAGAATTTTCACTGTCAATGGCACATGCTGTAATGGACACAAGTGTGTATGAACATTTATTGAGTGGTCCTTGGGCTCAGTGTATATGAGCACAAATCACAAAGGAAAAGACGGGCAAGAATGATTCCATGAAACACATGCAATATCTACTTGATAATAGCATGAGTTTTTTTTTATTACTAAAAACATACTTGTGTCTACAACATGCATGTGAATTTTACTACTACATAAAATCATGGCTATTTTTTAAATTCTTAAATTATTTGTTGCAAACACTTATACTACCTAATTACATAGAAAAAAATGAAATAGGTTAGATTAGAAATATTTCCTTTATAAAACATTCAAAAACTTTGATTAAATTTATTAAGTTATTATAGGTGTCTTGCAACTTAAATACATAAATAAATAGCATTATGGTCTTTAGAAAATCTTTGCATTAATTTCTTAGTAGCTAATATAAAGAAATAAGACCACAACTATCTATAGCTTTGTCAATATTTTTCTTATAGTCTAATGAAAATTTAATACTCTTAAATCTCTTTATGCTAAGTACTAGTTGTTTTGATTCATTATTATTTTTAGAAATGTATGTATATGATTTTTTTTGTTTTATTTCCTATATATTGGTATATATGAGATAATTATTTTTAAAAATTATATTACAATCTATATTCCTAATATTATATTTTTATCTCTAATATATAACTTAAAGCTATAAAACTACAATAAAATAAAGTTTAAACAAAAAATTAGACCTTTATATCTTATTTATTACAAACTAAGTACAACATTTTTTTTGATTATCTAAATATCTATTTATACAATATTTATATTTATAATTATCTAAATTTAAATTTAAATTTTATATTAATATTAATTTTAAAATTTTATATTATTTATATTTATATTTATTTAAATATCTATTTATATACATATATTTATATAATATATATAATTTATTTTATTTTATTTTATTTTTTTACTTCTATATTGGTACTAATTAATAATATAATAATTTTTAATATTAATTTTGGTCTATTTCTTTATTTGTTTATCTTCTTATTATTTTATTTAATAATATTATATAAATTTCTTTACTATAGATTCTTTTTAATAATGATATTAGAAAAAATTAAAAATAATTATTTAAACTAAAATATTTTTAATTTCAATCTTTAGATCTAAGTTTAATTATTATTATTTTTTAAAGAATCTATCAAATATTTTTTTTGTTCACATATTTGTATTAGTTTTTAGTTTTTTTAATGATTTATCTCATTAAAATAAGATGCATCAACTTTATTTTGTAAAAGAATACTTTTATCAATTCAATTTTCAAAACAAAGAGGCTACAAAGGACCAACTTGTGACAAGTGGCCTTCATTAATCAAAGGGCCCTATTGGAAGTGATGGACAATCCAATTGAAGACATGCTATTGTTTCAAGGAGTAATTGAATTTAAAACTTCATTTGATTAGGACATTAAATAAAAGAAGTATGACTAAGGTTCCATCTATTTCTATGTTTTGAAACTAAAGACAATGAGATAGCTTGTTGGGCCCACTTTGCCTTAGTTGGAGATAAAAAAGAAAGGAAGTCCTTTAGAGCATATAATTCACTAAGACATCATATTATAAAGGTTTAGCATATATAAATTAGAGTATAGAATATATGTAAGTAGAAGGGATCTAATAGATCAATTTGAATAAATAAAGATGAAAATATCAACAAAGAAGATGGTCAAATTTTCAACTTAAGTAAGGTTGCAAAAAATTAATTTAGCAAACCTTGATAATAAAGTTGGAAGGAAAAAATTGAAAGAAGACCTGATTGCATTAAGTTGTAATATTTCTATCAATATTGTGCTGATTTTGGAATAAAAATATGGTAGAAAAATTAATTTGAGAGAAGTGCCTTTTGAAATGGAAAATATAATCTAAATCAATTCTAATGTATCGGATCTCTCGTTAAATATATAAATATGCTAATAGAAGAATGAAAGAAGTAAACTACTACTAATGAATGAGACAATGTATTAAGGACATGAATATCGAAGAAAAAAATCCTCAATATACTCTTGAGTCACTAAAAAGAACTAGAAATTCACTTAAAGATGATATAGTATTGTAAAAAAAAAAGAAAATTAAAAAGACTTGAAACAAGACTAAGGACTAAAAAGGCACTGATAAGAGTGAAGAAGGCTTCACTTGTGCCTCTATATATACTCTTAACTAGGAACTATATCGTGATATCCTATAAGACTTTTAAAACATGTTGATTTCAGAAGATACATATCTTAACTTGCAAGATAAGTTTTCTATATATGCGCCATATAGTTACTTTGTTTCATAAGCTATCAATATGTGGTTAATTTATTGACTAATTTTCTAACCTACTAATCAATTATAAACAAATATAAAGTTAAAGAAGCATCTATGAAGCTTTTAAGAAGCTTTTCTAGAAGATATTGTAAAATTAATCTACTTTTATTTATTTTTATCTATTTCTATCTAATCATATATATATTTATTAGAGTATATATGAATATCTATGACATTATCTTCCCTTTTAGAGACAAGTTCCACTAGGAGAGATCATCATGTCTTGATGAAATCTAAGATGTAATGAATTGTATTTGCTACATACTTTGAACTTTGTTCCTTTCAAAGATGGTTAATAGGTCTTATCAACCATCGATAGTATTCTATACTAGGACAAGAAAGCCACCCTATTATTTGATTGTTGTTGAGGCCTTTGTAACTTCCTTCAAATAAAACATTTAGAATACCATTAAGAGTTGTTTTTACTTCTAATAAAATCACCAAACATCAAAAGTCTCTTCTAAGGTTGTGATATCAAATATGTTGTATCTTGCCATCTATTCAAGGAAAGATATGTTGTTCTTGATGATCTTCATTTTAATTACGTCATCTTGAAGATTGTGAAAATTGCAATATCTTATTTAGTGAGTGAACAAGAGAAAGTTCTTCAGTTGAATCTACTAATTATTGATTTTCTAACTCCTTAGCATCACAACTACAAAGAAGTTACAAAGAAGGATAGAAGGTAGAATGCTATCTTCCTTGAATCTTGTTTCTTTTACAACAAAGATTTTCTATTCCTTAATTTATTTTTAATAGATTTTATTTATGAAAAGCTTCAATTCTCTTTATTGTATTTGCAAGATTCTTTATTGGCTTGTATATGCATTCACTAATATCATATTTGTACCAATGAAAAAGATATTCTTACCTATTTTGGCACCGCATTAAATTTAAGACTTCTTCTACCTTGAACTCTTAATTATTATCTACTTCTATAAGAAGAAGTGGCATTTGTCTTCTTCTTGAGATATTCAGTGTTTTATATGGCTTAAGAAGAGAAATATGAAATACAAGGTAGATCTTTATAGACTCCAATAGATGTAATCAATAAGCAATAGGATTAATTTGTTTACAAATAGAAAAAAGTTGAAGCCTATGATAGTTCAACTTTTCAAAAGAACAAGTAGTCTTAATATTATAACAAAGTAATCATATCTTGTTACCTACATTGAATTATGGTTATTTCTTGCAATAGGCATCTGCATTTGTCTTTTTTCATTCTTGAGCTCCTTTTAATTACACTTTTATTGTTGCATGTAGCTCTGTCAAATGATTTGCTAAATCTTTTGCTATAGGATTATGAACTTTTGAAAGTCAAAAGTATCAAGTTGTGAATGATAACCATAATTGGTAAAGAAAGATGTTTGTTAGGTGGAAGAATGTACCAAATTATTGTACATAAATTCTATCAATAGTAAAAGAATTGTCTAATCATCTTGATAATAGTTGATGGTACACCTCAAATACTGCTTCAAAACTTGATTTATTCATTCTATTTGTCCATCAATTTGAGGATGAAAAGCCAAAGAGAGCTTCATATCCACCTTTAAAATCTTAAAAAGGATTCTCCAAAATCTTGATATGAATTGAGTCTTTTTATCCAATATAATATCTTTAAGCAATCTATGATAGCGATAGATATTATTAAAAAAAGCTTAGCCATTTCTTTACTAATGATAGATTTTATATATGATACAAAATATGCCATCTTGATAAAATGATCTACTACCATGAATATAAAATCATACAATCTTGAGACTAGAAGACTCGACATAAAATCTACAAAAATCAAAGATCATGATTGTTTTGGAATAGGTAATAATTGAAGAAGTCCATAA